GTGGTGTTCAGAGTGTTGCATCACAGACTTGCTGGGATGCTTTAGCCTAAGCACTATGACATTTTTAAAGGGTAGTGTGAATCGGACCATGAAAACAAAAAATTCATTTTTTCAACCACTTCCAGATCATTTTAATTTTTTTAAAATTATAAGTTTATTTATTTATTTATTTGTGGCTGAGTTAGGTCTTTGTTGCTGCACACAGGCTTTCTCTAATTGTGGTGAGCTGGGGCTACTCTTCATTGTGGTATGCAGGTTTCTCGTTGCGGTGGCTTTTCTTGTTGCGGAGCACAGGCTGTAGGGTGCAGGCTCAGTAGTTGCGGCACACAGGCTTAGTTGCTCCGCGGCATGTGGGATCTTCCTGAAACAGGGCTCAAACCCATGTCCCCTGCATTGGCAGGTGGATTCTTAACCACTGAGCCACCAGGGAAACTCCATTTTTATTTTAATTGTTTTTAATTTAATGATTTTTCACACGATGTATTAGATTCCTCTATGCATTTGATTCTTGTTGCAAAGATGCCTCTTATTTATATAATTTACAGACTACATGACATTCCTTTGTTAAAAGCTAAAAAATAAACAGTTAGAAAGAGATCAATGGCTCTGATTTACACTGATGATAATGGAGAGACATTTTATCAATGGACAGAATCATCTCACACCAGGGTGCCAGATACTGAATATGAAGACACAACTTTAGTGTTCATATCCTGTTTCTGTCCTTAGCTACCTGGGTTATGTTGGGCAGGGTCCATCCTCTCTGAACCCTGATTTCCTCATATGGCATCTGAGCTGCCTGGTATCCTGAGATGAGATTGGGGTGTCTGAGGCAATCTGTAGGCACCAAAGACATTCCCACACACCAGGCACCCCATCTTTGCTTATTTTTTTCTTTTTTTTCTCTTTATAGTCAAAGGGTCAAGAAGATGTAAAAATAGATACTCCCTGGAATGGAACTGGACACAGCCCAAGGACAAAAGGAACCTAGCTGAGTTGGCAGTTTCACTTACACACTGTTGTATGTTCAGAGCTTATCTGATTTGTGTCTCATTGGACTTGTCCAATTAGTGAAGTTGATTCATATTGCATCACAGTTTGCTTTGTTAAGCATCACATTATACTCTATTTTATGTTATGTTATTTATATATGTGGTTTTATTTGTGTTTTGCTATTTAATACTAGTTTTCTATAAGCTATTTGGTTTAGTATGTGGTATAAAGTCATACTTGGAGGAATAAGATATATGGGCTTTCTTGCAAGCAGAAGGCTATTAAAAAAAAACACTTAACATTCTTCTGTTTATATAATTCTGTTTCCTAAATTGTTGTAATTACCTTGTTAAAGAGGAAAATGATAAGAAGAATAAATATTGAACATAAAAGAACCAAAACTTGTTTGTGGATTGAGTTAAATAGCATTTATTAAGAGGTGTATTAAGAATAGTTAAGAGTTTAGTAAATACGAAAATGTTGTGAAAATTGTATTCCCCATTTACTTCTTCCTGGTTTTTCCCTTTATCTCTACCCCTTGTGGTCTTGGACTTCATTCTATATGAATTATAATGGAAAGGTTTTTTTGAATTAAAAAAAAAATTCAAAGTCATTTAAACCAAAAATTAGAAAGATTCTATCTGTGACATAGGTCAATATTTCTTGATACAAAACTTTCAAAATAAAAAAAGTATGCCCATCTATTTTGTGACTGCAGGAACACAACAACTATTTAGAAAATTCCTTGAGCAATCACTTAGTCCGTCATTCTGTCACCAGCCATGGTCCTAGGAATGGGCATCTCAGCAGAGGAACATTTCTCTACTTTATAAGTCCTCCTGAGTCATCTTTAAGCACTTTCCAAAAAGAAAATGATTATGCAGAGGGTTTATTTTTTAAAATTTATTTATTTTATTTTTGGCTGCGTTGGGTCTTCATTGCTGCACACGGGCTTTCTCTAGTTGTGGTGAGCGGTGGCTACTCTTCATTGCGGTGTGCGGGCTTCTCATTGCGGTGGCTCCTCTTGTTGTGGAGCACAGGCTCTAGGCACTCCGCTTCAGTAGTTGGGGCACGTGGGCTCGGTAGTTGCAGCTCATGGGCTCTAGAGCACAGGCTCAGTAGTTGTGGTGCACAGGCTTAGTTGCTCCGTGGCATGTGGGATCTTCCCAGACCAGGGCTAGATCCCATGTCCCCTGCATTGGCAGGATTCTTAACCACTGAGCCACCAGGGAAGTCCTATGCAGAGGGTTTTTAGAAACCGATTCCTCAGTAACCAGAAGAGAGACAAAAAATGTGTGAAACCTAGCAAAAACTCAGAAATAAGATGAAAAGACCCTGTACCAGGGTAGTTCTTGTCACAATAGTCATGTACTTAATTTCACAGAGTGCCTGACACAGCACTCTGGACAGTCTGCTTCAGATTCCAAAAGCCATGAAGGATTAGTGGAGGAAGACACACTGATGATAGGATTTAAAATCCAAATATGCACATCCATAACGCGGGCAATGGTGGGTCATTTGGTGTAGAGCCAAACGCTCAGTAGGCTCTGAAGGCATCTCTATGCTCATAAATAACAACACTGAGCCATCAGGGAAAGTATGCTCAATATCCTGTTTGACTATTCATCAAACATGAGTTAGCACCTATTATGAGCCAGGCACCAAGCCAAGTGAAGCTGGAGATGCCAAGAAATTAAGTTAGCACTTGGTGCTCACTCCCAGGTAATTAGTGCTGAGCAGTGTGGGAAGAGAGAGGAGATGGCTAGAAAATCAGCTATGGCAACACAGGGTTGTAAGCACTTGGATAAAGGAAGGCATGGGACAGGGCATTAGTAGTGAAGGTTTCCAGAAGAAAAGAATATTCAGTTGAACCTTATTAAATAGCCGATATTCAATGCTCTTGAACTATGAAGATGGCAATTGTGTATGGTTCAGCCCTTGTTTGAGTCGAGGTATGAAGGGCCAGTAGGAGACACCCAATTGGAAAAGGAGCAGCAGGGGGTGTTTGGAAATATCTGGGGGCATATTTTAGTTGTTGCAATGTCTAAAGGTGGGATACTAAGGTATTCGGTGGGCAGGAGACAGGGATGCTAAACCCACTGGAATGCACAAGATAGCCTGACACAATGAAGAATTTTCTTACTCAGATATCAATTATGCCACCAGTTGGGTAACACTGGATGAAGCGGCACATATGCAAGGACTGGGTGTAGGATGGAGCAGCTGCAGATTAAGTAAAACTGTTACCTCAACTAAGCATAGTGGTTTGAACTTGAGCATGGAAACACAGGGGAACCATGGAAGAAGTCAAAGCAGGAGGAAAGGGAGGTGGGATGGAGGATGGATGCAGAGATACAGAGAGAGCTGCAATGAGTAAGGTGAGAAACGGTGGGACCTCAGTTAAGGCCATGGCAAAAAGAAAGGAAGCAGAGATGGGCTTGGAATTGTTGAGACTCATTCTAGATAACCCTCCCTCTGCCACCCCTCCCCACCACCAGTCACCCTTTCCTGGAGCAGCACAGCCAGAGAGGACCACTGTCAAGGGCAGTGGCCCGTTTGGCTGACTGCTGCTGGGAGGTCTCACCAGGTGAGCTTTGCTGAGTCAGGAAAGTAGCACATTTTGTTAGTGCTCTGAATGTGTGTGAATTATTTGGGACTAGGAGTCCTAATACCTATTAGCTGAGTTTCTGGAGCCAATTTATTAATCACAATGAGAACATTCCACTGTCAAGTGCATGGGTAAAAAAGCACATGGGCAAATCAGTGCGTTACCCCCAGGAGTTCAAATTGGAATCACAAAGCCAGATTGTTAAGCCTGGGATCAGAGTGCAGCACAGAGTCTCAGCCATACAATTGAAAGTTTAATTCATTAGTCTCACTGCACTAACCATGTTCAAGGATTAGAGAAGTTGCTCCCAATTCGCAGCTCTTCTTTTTCTTTTTTTCATTTTTGAAAATGTATTTTCTACCTAAGTTTTAAATTAAGGTATAATTTACATACAGTAAAATGCACAAGTCTAAGTGTACAGCTTAGCTGAATTTTTGCGTATGTACACGCCTGTGTGATGACTCTGGGCCATTCAAGATATTAAATATTTTCATCACCCAGATGGCTCCCTCATGCCCCCGTACATCCGTCCAGCCCCAGAGTAACAGTTTCAACCAACCAATGGCCATCTTGTTACATCTATTCTGCCCAACTTCTCCCCACTTATATACCCTGACTTACTTTGAAGGAATTCCCCAATATCAAATTATTATATATGAATATAAATATATATTTACACATGCATACACATATTTGTATGTATCATTTTAACAGGGACTTTTAAAAAGACACAATCTCATTATCCCAGATTTAAAGATCAACACTAATTCCCCAATATCACCAAATATTCAGTCAATGTTCTAATTTCCCTGTTTGTTTCAAAAAAAGATTGTATTTATTTATTTATTTATTTATTTATTACAGTTGATATGTTTGAATGAAGCTCCACATAAGGTCCACACTCTGCATTTGTGTGATTTGTTTCTTTTTAAGTTTAATCTATGTGTCTTATCATTACCATCCTTCTCTTGATTTACGTTTTGGAAAAACCAGGAAACTTTTTCTGAGTTCCCACCTTCTGGGTTTTGGTGGTTGCATTCCCGTGGTGTTACCTAGTTTGTTCCCTGACTCCTAGTTGTAAATAGAGGCTGGGTTGGGGAATGGGACCAGACCACTTTATAAGTGGCATTGTGCCGCATGGTTATAAAGTTGCCTAAACTGAGGTTATAGCCAGAGGAGTGAAAGAAGATGTGGTGAACTTGGGTCAAATTCTTCAAGGCAAGTAAAGAACTGATCAAGACCTTTGACTGACAGCCAGAAAGAGGAGAAGTAGATGGTCTAATGACACACGTGCACTTCAAAGAATGGGGAGGTGTATAGAAATGAACAAGTGCCATCATGGAAGCACAGGAATGTTGGTTTCTACATGCTTCTGGCTCTGTGGGCATCTTCAGAAAACCATAAGAGGAGTGCTGTTGCCATAGACTCAAGTTTCAACCAAGGCAAGGAGATAGGGGAGCAAAAGCTGGAAGGACAGGAAAGAATTGTTAGGGAAGGCCAGAGCTGGACATCATGGAAATGGGTTGGAGGTGTACAGCAGTATTCAGATGAAAGCATGAGAAATATGAGAAAGGACAGATGCATGCACGTGTTTGGGTTTGGGTAGTAATCACGTCGTTAATAAAACCTAGACTAGTAAGCGGCAAGTGATATGCTAATATCACTTGTAAGTTCATTAATGTATTATCTCATTTAAACATGAGGTAGGTACTATTTTTATGCCCATTTTGGGGACAGAGAAACTGAGGGTCAAGGAAGCTAAGGAATTTACTGAGGTCACACAGTCTTTAGAGATATGAGGAAATTAGTTGGTATCAAGTTTCTGACCAGGCGACTGGTATAAAGGTGTTTCTGTGTCAATAAGGCAGCCCTGTGGTGTCTAATGTTCCTTGACGTTGGTTCTCTTGTTGGTTCTTTGTCATCTTTATAATCATCTGTATGCTCTGGTATTTTAGATGGTACCAAAGTGTTAGAACATAGAACATTTTAGACTTTCTTACTTTGGTATCAAAAAGACTTAAAAAGTTTGCCTTGTCAAGGAGTAAGTTCCAGTTGTGATTTGGTTACCTTCTTCCCCAGCAGTGCTATGCATGTATCACAGGTTTTTCTTTCTGGTTAAATCATGGTTTATTGATTGAAAGCTATGTTCTCTAACCAGTCATTCCTTCAGTCAACGGCTATTTATTGAGCACCTACTATGAGTCAGTCATCGTTCTGGTCACTGAGAATGAGCAGGACGAAGTCCTTGCTTTCATGTGATTTATGGAAGGAGAGACAGGAAACAAACATATAACCAAATAAATGTATAATATGAAAGAAGAATAAAGGCACTTGGGGATGGGGATGGGGATGTAGAACTTCTCCATATCTGTGAAGAAGCTGTCACAATTTACTTTCTT